GGTGACCTCCCCGCAGGTTATCTGGAGCCCTGGGAGAAGCGGCACCCTCAGCAGGCCCAGGGGGCGCTCGGCACCCCATGACGGCCACTGCAACCACGGCCTCGCTGCTGGTCTCAGCCCGGGGTCCCGGCAGCAAGCGGGAACGCCAACGCGGGGGGAGACTGAGGCACGAGGACCCCCTACCCCACTCCTCGCCCCTCGGCTTACTTTGTCGGCAGCGGTGAGGCGGGTCCACGGCTTGTCGGCCCTGCGGTCATAGTCCTGAGCGTCAGCCACCTCCACGTAGTCACTGAAACGGATGAGGATCTTTCTTTCTCGAAGTTCTTCCACTGTGGGTCTTTGGCTGAGCTGCAGGGAGGGAGAGAGATGGACCCGGTCAGCCAGAGGAGTGTAGACTGCTGGGTCGGTGGGAAAACGAGGTCCTGAGAGGCAACCAACACATCCCTCAGCAAGTGAGGGGCAGGGCCCGGGGTGGGGACCTAGGGCTTCTGACTCCTGGACCTGGGACTTTTCCAGAACTCAAAGAGAGAGGGCTTTATTATCCCCTGAGCTACCTTCAGGCTCATCCGGATAGACAGGTAGGCTGACTCTTAATAACACTGCAGCGTCTCCTCGTAAGCGGCCTGTCTGCCCGCGTGGGTGCAGGCGTCCGCTGTGGATTTTCCCACACCCGTACTGTGCCTCCCACTCGGGGACGGGAACCTCACACCAGGTTTCGGTCTCATTTTGGATTTGTAAGCCCATGCCCGTGTGTCAGATTGAGTGTGCTCTGCAGGATGGGGCTGGAAATCGTTTTAAATGCGTGTGTTTTAGACCCCCCAAAGGGCGGATGTGCAAACAATATGCAAATTCAGGGGTCCGCAGCCATGATGTACGAGGCCAGAGGGGACCCTGCTCCTCACAGTCTGTCCGCAAATGCAGGGCGAGGCTGGGTTTAGGCCAGGAAGGCATGGGACAGGCCTTCAGGACGGGTCTGCGGTGAGGGGTGCAACAACTAGGACGAGAATGTGTATTTATTTAGCCGCCTCGCGGTCCCAGTCACGAGCACCCTCCCTTTGTACTTGGGCGGCACAAGGCTGACGTTTCTATCATCGCTTCCTGTCACTGGGTTTATTTCTCCTGGAGCAACACCGTCACCGTGTCTTCAGGATGCTGTGAACGCACGTTTAACCGACGTTATTTTAAAGCACTTTTTCCTCCAAGCCCTACGCTGTATATACTTCTATCAACAGAAAGTGCAGTCAGATACAACCCCACCACAAAGGCCTATACAACACACACAGACGCACAAGTGAATCCCAACCACCCTGGCTGTCCTGACTCGATTTCCCGCGGCTGCCACACACCTTTGGTGGTGCCAGCGTGCTCCAGCCCGCTGCCAGCTGGTGGACCGTGGAAGAGCACGCGGAAAAGGATTTAGATGATTGCCTGGCTGGGATCAAACAGAATGGAGCCGGGTACGGCCAGGCTGCAGGCGGGACCAAAGCAGCCTGCGGCTCCCTCTTGGCCAATGGTGGGAGGGGGGGATGTGGGGGATCAGAGGCCTAGCGGGCTGTGGCCCACTTGCCTGGGCCACACGCAGCCCCCTGTCAGAGTGGTTCCCATCTGTGCTGAGGCAGCCCTGGTGTTCCTGGGACAGGACCTTCTGGTGTCAGTGCTGGCCTGTCGCAGGAAACCCACAGCTGTCCCAGGCTTCGTGGGGTACCGTGAACAGTCCGTCCGGACTCAAACACATGCCCTCTGCAATGTGAGTTCAGGCAGCTTTTGCACACTCGTTAAAATACATGCAAACATTTCCTGTTTCCCCAGCTACACAAGGACTCCTGCTCAACAACTCTTGTGCTTCTTAGGACTAGCAAGATTTACCGCGAAATGCTGGGCACATGGTGCTAATTTCTAAGCGTACTGTGACAAGAGGAAGGTTAAGCACGGAAGTTCTAGTTTATATTTCCAGAAATCATGCTCTGGATACTTTACCAACAGACTTGGTGGCAGTCTGGAGCGAACAGAAAACTAAATGTTAGATCCAAAGGTCAGGGGCTATTTTTCATGCCTGAGTTCCATCGGAGACTTTAGACACGATCTCTCCAAATCGATAAGGCGCTGCTCCCAAGTGCTAGGAGGGAAGGAATGAGGAGGGGACAGGTTTCTCCCCCGGAGGGGGGGGGGGTCTCGGGTGGTGTGTAGGCCACCTAACCAATGCCCCCTGGGACCCTCCACTGCGAGCATGGGCTCGTGCCCCTGGCTACTTAGTGCTCAGATGTGCCTTTGGCTTGCCTTTGGGGTACATGAACCTAGGGTCCTTCCTCAGATGGCGAGGAAATGATCTTTGTGGCCGAAGTCCGTTTTCTGGGGATGGCGGGCTAGAAGAAGGGGCGGGGGGGGGGGGGTGGGGGGGGCAGAGGTTGGAAGCATTATGTTTCAATCTATGGCAGAAATATCACTTGCAACCAAATACTGAAAAGTAAATTACTTGAGGCCCCAGATCCACTAATACAACTTGACCCAAGCGCACTTCCCCTTTCCCTCTCCTCCCTCCCTTCTTTTCTTCTTCCCATCCATCTATCCATTTAGCTAGCCAGCATGTTTTTTTTTTTTTTTTCCCAAAGGGGGAGGCTGGCATTTATTAAAAGACAGAGCACATAATTTTTAGGTTAGTCTCAATGTGGCTGAAGAAGACGACTGGTCTGTTGCTATCAGTGTCCTGTATCAGCTCCTGGCTCTCATTCCTCTTCCTACTGCGTTAGAACGAAATAGAACTGAACTGAGGAAACCTTAGGGCTGCGGGTAACCGAACGACAGCCATGGTCCCTGGCATCTGGTCTTGCCGTGCTCAAGGCTCCAGAGGAGAAAGATCTGCCCAGGGCCAGGAGGCACCACAGAATTCCCTACCTGCTGGCAGGCTCACATCTCTGTCGGCAAAAACAGAGGTGAAAGTGCCTTCCAGTCTTCCCCTTCAAAGCGGTTCTCCCTTCCCTTAAAGTCATTTTTCATTCCCCAAGCCAGTCCCAGGGGAGGGCAAATGCCGAAATTATAAGGCAGCTTTCCTGGGAGAAGGAGGGAGAGGGGACCGGGAGGAAGAGAAGGAAGTTCTCTTGCCTTGGAGACCTGCAAAAACGAGGGGCTATTTGGGGGCACCTGTCCCTAGCGGTACCCATCCTTCGGGAGATGGCGGGGGAGGGAACCCTCCTCCCTTGCCAAATTATGCAATTAGCTGACTTTTTGTATACTCTTTTTAAAAAGACACGAGCTAAATATAGTCTTAAGTATTTTCCTATTTCTAGCTTTTAGCAAGAAACCCCCAAGTTTAGGAGACTTTGGGCGCAGCAATCAACCCCAATGAATTTTATGAAAATGTGATTTTTTTTTTTTCCTGAAATGTCTAGACCTTTCTGTATCAGAAAGGAGGGGTTATCACCAGCCTCCTCTGGATAGTCTAAGTCATTTCAAGGACACACTTAAAACAAGGCGGCATATCTTCCCCAGTCCTCCTCACTACTCAGTCTCGGGAGAAAGGACGCCCTGCCTCCAAAGATGGGGTGGTCTTAGGGATTTAAAGAATCAGACCTTGACTTGGGTGAGGGCACCTGGACAAAGTGAGGTCACTTAGCTCTTGTTCGAGTTCCCAACCAGGGGGACGCCAGCCTGTCATCTGGCCTTTCAGGCTCTTGTTTATTTTCCTTATAATTGGGATAGCATTTGGCTTGTCACTGGGTATTTGGGATGCTCCAAGGGAGACAAAGTCAGAGACGCACAAATCATCACCTTAATAACTGGCATGATGTTTTAGGATCTCTGCATTTCTTCCTTTACATAATATTTCTAGGGAGAAAAGTCCATTCATAAACCTTTGAAAATTAATTTTAATGGGTCTCTTAACTGTCTCTAAGATTTGAGTATCTTTCTCTCAAGAAGGTCACTGTAGGAGGCTGATTAAAAACAGAACATAGTTCCATTTCCTGTGTTATCAACTGATTAAACTTGTCAACACCATCCAGGAATAGCCTCAACTAAGAGTCTGTTACTGGAGAGGCCACTCATATGGAATTAGATCCACTCGGGTCTGTGTCACACTGCCGCATCACCTATTCTGGGGGTGAAAATACATAAGAATTCCAGCTTTGTGACTTTAAGTGCTTTTCAAACACCTGCAGTAAATTTATCAGCTCTTTGGGCATTTTCCTAAATTCAGGAATTCAAGCTGGATCTGGCATAATAAAACCAAGTAGTTCTCAGTTCATAGGTAAGGCACAGTATCAGGGGAGGCAAGGAAAACTTACTCTCCCAGGGTCACAGCAAATAACTGCATTACATTTGAACTACCGATTTTGATCATGACGTTCCCATGCTTGGTGGCATTACGGTGAATTTCTCAAAAACAAAATGTTCGCGGTAACTGAAAACATAATGCACCTGACATCAAGCTGCCTGGGGGGAGGGAGGCATGGGTGTCACAGAATCAAGCAGTGGAATGTCACCAGCCCAAAGCACTGAAGGCCATGAAACTGAGCTGATGACCACCATCCCCGGGGGGAGTCCCAGAAAATCTAGAGAGCCGCTCACTCTCACAGCCGAGGCGCGGGGCCACTGACAGAACTTCCTCCAGGCCAGGCAGCTGCAAGGCCACCGGGGCCCGCAGGCGGCACGGGAGCCAAGGGCGGCCCGGGAGCCAAGGGTGGCCCGCGCTGTCCTGTCCCAGCTCCCGCCTGGAGAACCCGCTCACCTTTCGAGTTAACCTCCTCTTGATTTCTCTTTTCTCCTCTTGTTCCTCCTGTTCATTCCGAGCTGCAAGAAACATTGACCATGCTTTGGTTTTGGGAACAGTGTCACACGCAAGTGTACCCTCTGAACCTCTGCAGGCTCCAGGCCAAGCCCCTCACGACCTGAACAAGGGGAGAGCGAGCTCCTGTCCCCCACCACCCCACCGCGGCCACCCTCCTGCCTATGGGACGCTTTCCAAACTGCCTGCCTTGTTTCAAATTGATGGTGAGCTGGCTGACCTTACTGTGTTTTCCGTGTGTGTCACAGGTTTTCAAGTCTCCAGGCAGAAATGCCGGGCTGAGAAGTATGGCTCTAAGGCAGGGAGGTAGGTCCTAACAGGATGAGGGTGCTGTTAGCAGGGACATGGGCCTCTGGAGCGAGGCGAGGCTCCCTTCTTTGGACAAGACTCAGGCCGGCTCAACTCTGCCTTGGGCCTCACAGTGACTGACGGGGGCTCATTGTGATGTGGCCTCATGTCTGGTGCTCTGTGGGGACAGAACAGCCTGTGGGGGGGGCCTGCCACTGGCTGCAGAAATGAAACCAGGCACGGCTGAGGCCGAATGCAGCACTGGGCACGCGGAGAGGGATTTCAAAACGCTCACCTTTCGCAAGCCCTGATTCCATTAATTCTTTGAGTCTTCCAAGAAGTCCACAGAGCAGGTGTGAGGCCAGAGTGTGGGACACAATGGCCTGCATTTAGACTTTTAAGGAGTGTCTTAGGAGAGCAGACTTCGGAGTCTAAACGTTCTTGGCTTGATATGCGGGGTGACTTACTCACCAGATGTTTAAAGAGCCATAGGTTAGAGGGTCTGGGGAAGGGGGCAGAGGTGTGGAGGACAGAGAATGCAGGCTTATTTTAAGCAAAGCGAGTGACCTTGGGTACGTCACTTTCCTTCCGGGCCTTGGAATGGAGGCGAGGGTCTAAGCCCGATATCGTCTAGCTTGAAGGTCACAGAAATCAAACCGTGTCCAAAGAAGGTCTCTGATTCTCACCCACTGAATTCAGAACGGCATCCGTGAAGGCAATCTCCTTCAGCCTGGTCTTCGCATCAAATCACTGCTGCTAAATTATGTTTCAGTAACTGAACTCAGGGCACACTTGCCATTCAGTTGGCTCACGACTGGCCAGGTCGATAAAAGAGGGAAGCCCCTGTGCACGGAAGCGGGGTCCCACCCTGTTCCTCCTTGCGGGTCCTGACAGCGGCCACCACAACCAGAGGCAACTCACACTTCCAGCTGGAAGGGACAATGGCAGTTCAGAGCAGAGCTCAGGCCCTTGAGCGACACCCCCCAGGGGCACAGCTTGCCTGCTGTGGCTGCCTGGGGGGTGGGGTGCGTTTGAGGATCTTGTATGGGGGCACAGAAATGCTCACATCCTGCGGTGGGCAAAGGCCACCATTGGTCTCCACGGAAACTTGCCCCACAGGGCCCTGGCCCCCCACATGAGAGCCCTTTCCTTTGGATTTAAAGATATCCCATCTCCCTCCCAGAACTCCTTTAAAAATGCAAGTTTCGAGAGGCACCTGGGTGGCTCAGTCAGTTAAGTGTCTGACTTCAGCTCAGGTCATGATCTCGCGGTTTGTGGGTTCGAGCCCCACATCGGGCTCTGTGCTGACCGCTCAGAGCCTGGAGCCTGCCTCGGATTCTGTGTCTCCCTCTCTCTCTCTCCGCCCCTCCCCTGCTTGCACTCTGTCTCTCTCTCAAAAATAAACATTAACATTTTTTTTTTAATAGGCAAATTTCTCTTGGATAAAAACCCATGAAACCAGTCAGCCATCAACATCTTAGTACGAACTAATCTATCAGAGAGAAACTGGAAGGCAGAAAACAAGAAGAAGGGAGACCCCTGGCAAGCTGCATTTGCAGGTGGCTGGAGTACAGAAGGGGAGGTCTGGTCTGGAGAGTGAGTACCCAGGAGGCACCTCAAGGGAACTTAGTTAAAATGTACAGGCTCACAGGAAAGTATGGCCACGAGGGGCCCAAGAGACCACCAAGTCTAACACTCTTATTCTGAAAATAAGGATGCGAAAGCCCAGGGGAGTTAAGTGGCTACTCCCACGCCACGCAGCTAGTTAGACAAACAGTCCAGCTCTTTTTTTTTTTTTTCTCACTAGAATAAGCAGCCTCTTCCCCGTCATGCTTTGCTTGGGGCCAGCCCCTCCTCCTCATTGCTGGTTACTGGCCTCAAACTCCAATCCGGACCCTCTCCTCATCCTACAAGCCCCCTACGAGCCACAGAGGGCGGCATTCTGCGACAGAGCAGGGAGCCTTCCTCTCCTGGGTGTGTTTCTTAGGTCCCCCTGAGGGGCAGGGCCACGAGCCACCACCTATGGAATCTATACCTCTAGTTCAAAGCCATTTACAAACCGAGGGCCATGAATTCTCAGGCTGAGGGTACCAAGACAACCCCATTAGGCCACTGGACAGAGAGGCTAAGAAAGGCCCGTGATGTCATCACCTGCTGCCACCATCAGAGTGTGCTCATTATGTGCTCAAATGTGCACAGTGTCTCATTGGCTGCGGGACAAAGCAGGTGCTGCCTCCAGGGGGCGGGCAGGGTGGGGCTGGAAGGTAGCTGCGGGCCCTCCAAGCTCTACCGCAGAGCCGCGACCTGTGTCTCAACAGCACCCTCAGAGATCGCGTTCCTCAAATGACTCAGAGCCCAGAAAGCAAGGTTTAGAAGAATTTGTTTGAGGGTGTTTTCTTACACCATGAAAACATCTCTTGAGTAACCATCAGAACAGACTTAAGAAAGAAAGAAAGAAAGAGAGAAAGAATGAAAGAAAGAGAAAGAAAAGAAAAGAAAAGAAAAGAAAAAGAAAGGAAGGAAGGAAGGAAGGAAGGAAGGAAGGAAGGAAGGAAGGAAGGAAAACATGTTTAGGAAAACCAAGTTCCAGAATACAGAGGAAAAAAATAAAAGTTCACACGAAGGAGAAGTTCATTTCTGAGAAGTTTTGAAAACTGAAATGATCAACCTGTTTGAATGCGGTCAGGCAGTTCTTTCATTTGGCTGTTTGAACAGGATGAGGAGGAGGGGGCGGCTAGAACAAAAGGGGACCATGCGAACAATGTTTTCTGCTCTGGTCCCTGGATCTAAGCCCCTCAGGCTTACCAGACAAAAGTAACGGTCTCTAAGATCTGAAGGTCTTTCTAGATGGCAACAAAAAGTCAATGTGAGGACCTGCCTGAAGTCTCCCAGGGATCTGGGCAAGCAAGTAGGAGCTGGTGCCTTCCGGAAGCCAGAGGTGAGCTGGGGATTTTAGACCTCCTCTTTCTAAACCCCCTGCCCTTGCTGAGAGAATTATTTCTGAGACCTGAATAATCCCCCAGAGAGTGGTAGCTTATTATTTTTTTTTAATTAAAAAAAATTTTTTTAATGTTTTATTTATTTTTGAGACAGAGAGAGACAGAGCATGAGCAGGGGAGGGGCGGAGAGAGAGGGAGACACAGAATCCGAAGCAGGCTGCAGGCTCCGAGCTGTCAGCACAGAGCCCGACGCAGGGCTCGAACTCACGAACCGGGAGATCATGACCTGAGCCGAAGTCGGATGCTTAACCGACTGAGCCACTCAGGTGCCCCAAGCGGTAGCTTCTTTGTTTGGGGGCAGCTTGGAGGCCACTGAACAGCACGTAAATGGCACTGAGATTGGTTCCTCCAAAGAACACAGATCTGTGTTATGTGTCTGTATGTGTGTGGGTGAAGCAACAGAGGGGGAAGGACACACCCTTACCCGCCTTCCCACTTTAGGAATAAACGGACACCTGCTTTTCTTTGTCTCCAACAACGGAAAGGTTACAATGGATCAGGTGGCCAAACGCCCCCCCCCCAACCCTGGAAATCATCTGAAAAAGTTCTCTTTCATTTTATGGCATATTTAGCTTCAAAACCGTGAAGGGCATTCTTGGTTAGAAAACCACATATACACGAATTCCTAGAGACCTAGGGGGTATGTGAGGTGCGGGCAGCAATGAGGAAAGCCAACCTTGAAAACACCTGCTGAGAGCTGGGGAGGCAGCAAGGCTGGGAGCAGGGCGGGCAGGATGTCCACAGAGGCAGATACAGCAGGGACAGGTCCTCTGCAGGGGCTGCGGGCCACACGCCTGCCCCCACAGCAACTCAACAGCTCCCGGCAGCAAACCCTTCAAAACCCAGCAAGTCCCAAGGCCACAGTGGGGCAGGGGGGATGGGGGGTGGTGGGTAGAAAAGATCAAGCACATTTGAGTTTGGTCTAAGTGGAAATATCCAGCTGTTCAAACAGGCTTCACGTGGCTGGCGTGTGTGTGTGTGTGTGTGTGTGTGCGCACGTGCATGCATACACGCGCGTGCACATGCCATGACATTCCCAGGAAACTGTGCAATAGCACGTTATTTCTCTTTTCTAGAAATTAGAAGCGGATGTGTGCGTGGGGAGAAAGGGTCATGAGTGAAACTAAAAATAGTATTTGCTGCCCATCTTAGAAAGGTGCTGGTGGCAGGAGTAACAAAGATGGGGCAGATGTGGGCAGAGGGGGTTTGTTTTTAACTGTTTAAGATCTCCCGCCAAATGCAGGCATGCTGGCGTCCCTGAGATGTTTGTGTGTTTTCGTTTTACGCTGGTGGGACGCCAAGTGGATTCCCTCGCTCTACTCAAGTATCCCTGTGCCCTGAACCGAACAAGGGGCTCGTTCATGGTCTCTGGCCACAGCCAGGGTGACAGGCGAGTTTCTTTTGGGTGAGAGCATTCGGCAGGCAGGCCGTGGGCCAGCTGTAGAAATCCCGAGAGGGGACAGGAAGCGTTCTCCCTGAGAAATGCTTTCCTAGACTTTGCATTTCATGTTCAAAGCGGGGCGGGGGGGGGGGGGGGGGTGGGGTGGGGGGGGAGCCAGCTGCAACGGAAGGTCATGGTTTCGAGCCCCCGCCTTCCAGCGGCTGTCTGCCTCCTTTTAGCCGTCAGTATAGACATTTGTGGGTTCTCAGCCCATTTGGGTTGGAAGGTGACCCTAACCCTGCTCGGAATCATTGAGTGGCTTTGCTTGCCCTCATCTCGCAGCTTCTCTGACTTTACAGCCCACGAAAGGGAAGGTGGCCCTTGCAGCCCGTGAGCTTTGGATGGGCCTAGTGAACCCGAATCTGCCTTCTCTGTGGGGACGCTGCCTTGGCTGTTGTAACACGCGAGGAGGGTCAAGCATCAACCGGCAGAGCGGTTCGCAGTCATTCCCACGCGGGCACAAGGGACAAAGCTGGCGGCCCACGGGTGAACGAATAACCGACGCCACCGCAAGACATCAGCGACCGCCACGGGCTCAGTCACTTACGTTTTAGAATGTTCCTCTGCTCCAATTCCTCCGCGGTCGGCCTCTGGCTCAGCCGCCTACGGAAAAAATCCAGGAAAAGTTTTTGGACCATATCATATCCTCCTTGGGTCATTAATCTCTTCAGCCCTCGTAGATGCATGAGACAGAGTGAGTGGCCGGAGGTCCCGTTCCATCCTGTGCTCTGAAAGACCGGCTCTTACTACTACCTCATCCTCAGTTCCTCAATTTCAACCCCAGGAAAGGCACCGTGCGTCACGTCATGCCAGGCTGACCCTCCTCCTTCCTCCCGTCATCAGCCCCTGCCCCGCCCTGCTCCTCTGGGGCCTCTGGGCAAGTGGACTCTTCTCTTCACAGAGGTCCCTTTCTCTCCTGTGGCCTCTGCCTTTCTTCCCCAACCCCCCAGGCTACAGCTTGCTTCTTGCCATGTTTGTGCAGATCCAGTTAGACCATAAAGAGGGTCATGGCCCCGGGGTGACGAAAGAGAGCATGTCTTGTCTGCAAAGAACAATAGACGGTCTTCTTGTCCCCACCCGTCACCACCAGGGCCGCCTTAGACGTGGAATGACAAGCGAGCAGGAACAGAAACGACTCTCCTGTCGCCGGCACGGAACTGAGCCATAACAAGGGAACCATCACAGCAAGGGCATGAACTCTGCCATGATGCGGCAGTGGAGGGCGGGGACAGACCCTGGTGGCCCCACGAGGTGACAGAAGGCGCCAGAAAGTGGGAAGGGTGCCACACGGGAGAACTACAAGCTGGTACGGGCGGAAAAGATTCCAGGAATGAGTCACACAAACAGCGGGCCTCACCATCCACAGAGATGTTTGTGCGTTTTTGCTTTGAAGCTTTTGGAAGTTGGTTAACCAACCACCCGGCCAAGTGCAGCCTCCTGCTTCACCCATGGGATGAGGTGTGTGTGAGATGAGAAAATTGTAGAAGGAGTCCGAGGCTCCTCGGAGTCCTGCACTGGGACCTAAGGGGTGGAAAGGGGCGCTCTCCTGCTGCTTCTACAAATATCGGCGACCAAGTGTCTCTAGTTGGCAAGGTGTTTACACCACGGGATCTCCAGAGAGACCCAGTGTGAAAATATAAAGTCCGTGGAGTTAGCGAGTGCAAAGATCTCAAGTGCAATGCTTGAGGTCACTTGTAATTCTCTTCATTGCCCTGGGCCAAGCAATGGATCCTGTGAAACCCCAATGTCATCACCGTATATGCTATAGGTAGGGAATGGGCTTTGATACCAGAGAAAGGATTTCTGGTCAGCTGTCTGTAAAATCTACAGCACCCTGGAAACTGCTGGAAATTGTATTCCAAAGCATTTTTAAGTTTATAAGAACGTCTTCCCGTTCATTAGTCATTTTCTTTTCGAAATGCCCCATTAAGGCGCTATTTATTCCCACCGATAAGGACCAGCTGTATATATGGAAATCTGCAATATCGGAGGCTCTAAATTTGGACTCCGTAGTCTCGAAGCCTTTCCTAAAATAGCATTCTCAGACCTCCGGAGGAAACTATGTCATCGGTCTGGAATGCAGACCCCACTTGGCATGAGCTTCTTGCAAGCCCTGCCTTACCTTTCCCTTTCTCCTCCCCCAGAATCCTTGCCTCATCGGTAAGGGGTGTGCAGCCATCTTTACGGGACCACTTGGTGGAACCCAGGCTCTGAATGAAGCTAGGGCTTTGGGGTCAGTATGTTTCGAACAAGCCCCAGATTCAAGGTGGAGGTTGTATCCCAGGAGTTAGGCCAATGTTTTAGAAGCTCATGCCCAGAAGCGCCTGCAGAACGTTCCACCCTTGGCTTATGCTGAGAAGCCCATCGATTTCTGTTGCCAGACCCGTCGCCTGGTTCTGTGCCGGCTTTTTCGTTTTTGTGTTTCCTATGGGTCACATTTGGAGGGGACGAAACAATGAGTGAACTGCAACCAGAGCAAATTCTGTTAACGAGGCAGCCTTTAGTCAAAGATACATGCTCTCAAATGAGGCCCTGTATTTATGTTTCATTTCCTGGAGAGGGTCTGAGAACATCGAGGCTAATCCTAGCCATAAAATGCAGCTAAGCCCTCCCGAAGGACATGTGCTATATAATTAGCTATCTTGGCTTTGAAAATGAGACTGGGGGGCGGGGGTGGAGGCCTGCGTGGCTCAGTCCGTTGAGCGTCCGACTCTTGACTGTGGCTCAGGTCGTGATCTCACGGTTCGTGGGATCGAGCTGCCCCACAATGGGTTCCAGGCTGATACTGCGCACAGCCTGCTCGGGATTCTCTTCCCCTTGCTCTCGGCCCCTCCCCTGCACATGCTCTCTCTCTCTCAAAAATAAATAAGCTATAAAAAAAATGAGATTGGGGAGGAAAATGATCCTGTGGCTTTGTGAGGATAAGGCACAGAACAGCTCAGGAGGTCGAGGATCTGGGTTCTAGCTGTGGCTCGGCTCTGAACCGACTTGCCGTGGACAAGGTATTGGACTCCGTTCTTTTCCCTGCAAAGAGTAAACAGCAATTTAAGAGGCTAAGGCTGATTTAATGCCTATTATGTGCAGGAGTGGTTCTTAGAAGCAGCTGCCATATACTCAGCCCCATCCAAACATAAATTCATTTATTCGTTATTTATTGAGGGCCAGTTCTGTGCTAGGTTCTGTGTTAGGCACTGGATGAGTAAAGACAGATCAAGGCCTTGCCTCTGGGGGAAGCAGTCATTAATCAAATAGTCACGGGAGTAAGTATGGAATGTGACTGTAGTGAGAGCTTCCTACAGGAGGCACCGGGGCAGTGTCTCTGGCATCTGACCCGATTGGGCTGGGAGAGGGGTCCCGGGGGGAAGTCACATCGCACCCCAATCTGAAGAACAGAGGAAGCCAGTTTGCCGGGGTGGAGAGCAAGGGGAAGAAGGAAGGCGGGCGAGGCCGTGTAGCCCAGGGAAGCTGTGTTCAGGGTTCTGATCTTTTCTCAAGGAG